CACATTGCTGGAGCAATTCCGCAGGTTGTCTGCTAGGTAGCCTACCACGACGGTAACCTCCCAGTCCCTCAGTAACCCAGCTGTTAGCAGCACGGCCTCCCTGGCCACCTCGGTTTCCAGAGAACCCCGCTTACCTCCCCCGGAACACTTCGCTGGAGAGTCTGGAACATGTCTGGCATTTCTCGCTCAGTGTTCGCTCATCATCGAGCTGCAGCCCTCCTCCTTCCCCTTGGACCGCTCTAAGATAACGTACCTCATCACGCTGATGTCCGGGAGGGCTCCCGCCTGGGCTACGGCAGTGTAGGAACAACAGTCGGCCGTATGCTTCAGTCTGGAGTTCATGCAGGAGGTAAAGAAGGTTTTCAATGCTCCATTGTCCTTGAGAGAGGCTTCCCGGAAGTTACTCCAGCTTCAGCAAGAATCCCGCAGTGTGGCAGACTATGCAGTGGATTTCCGCACGTTGGCAACTGAGTGTGCCTGGAACCCGGAAGCGCAGTTCGACACGTTCCTGCACAGAGTATCGGAGGAAGTAAAGGACGAGCTTGCAGCCCGGGAACTACCGACGGATCTCAACTCGCTCATCACCTTGACCATTCGAATCGATGGCCGACTACGGAAACGAAGGAAGGAGAGGAAGTCCGGTTCCACCTCGCCTCCGAGGCCTCCCGGAAGTCCCAGAGAGTCTCCGAAGTCTGCCGATTCACCTCTTCCCGAGCCAATGCAACTAGGCAGACGGCAATACAGGATTCACCTGAAGAGTTGCCTGTATTGCGGGACTACTGGTCATTTTGTGTCCACCTGTCCACTAAAAGACCAGGCTCACCTGTAGGAGCGAGTACTCTGGTGGGCCATATGGATAACTTTTCTTCTCCCCTTACTCACACCCCCTTTCATGCCATCTTGCTGTGGGGGAACCAGTCGAAATCTCTCCGGGTACTCTGGGACCGACTCTGGGGCCATCGACTATTGGGTTTCTCTTGACTCCAGCGACACAACCCCTTTATTGACTGGTCTACTGGTGCCATCATGGGCTGGAGCCTGTTCTGCCACGCTCATTGCCTGAAGTCAGTGCAGCCTGCCCCGGGACGTCTTCCTGGGGGCTCGGAAGTTGCCTCGGACCTCTCCGCCATTCCCAAGGAGTACCAGGACCTCCGGGAGGTGTTCAGTAAGGCCCGGGCCACTTCGCTTCTACCGCACTGACCCTACGACTGCGGAATCGACCTTCTCCCAGGCACCACTCCGCCATGGGGACGACTGTACTCGCTGTCGGGTCCGGAGACCAAGGCTATGGAGACCTACATTGAGGACTCCCTAGCTGCCGGGTTCATCCGTACTTCTGCCTTTTCGCTGGCGCAGGGTTCTTCTTTGTGGAGAAGAAGGACAAAACCCTGCCCCGTGCATCGACTATCGGGGCCTCAACGACATCACTGTGAAGAACCGCTACCCACTACCACTCATCTCCTCGGCCTTCGAGCCGCTCCAGGGGGCCAACGTGTTCTCCAAGCTGGACCTACGGAACGCCTACCATCTGGTGCGGATACGGGAGGGGGACGAGTGGAAGACTGCCTTCAACACGGCCAGCGGTCACTACGAGTATCTGGTCATGCCATTTGGCCTTACCAATGCTCCAGCTGTGTTCCAGGCCCTGGTTAATGATGTTCTCCGCGACATATTGAACCGGTTCGTCTTCGTCTACCTCGACGACATCCTCGTCTTCTCCCGCTCTGCCCAAGAACACGTGCTCCACGTCCGACAGGTCCTCCAACGCCTCCTGGAGAACCAGCTTTTTGTGAAAGCGGGAAGGTGAGAGCGGTGGTGGATTGGCCACAGCCTACGTCCAGAGTGCAGCTGCAACGTTTCCTGGGCTTCGCCAACTTTTATTGCTGCTTTATCCGGGGTTACAGTACCCTGGCTTCCCCCCTGTCTGCACTTACCTCTCCCAAGGTTCCGTTCACATGGTCCCCAGCTGCTGACCGGGTGTTCCGGGACCTCAAACACCGTTTCACCATTGCTCCCATCTTGGTTTCATCCTGACCCGTCCCGCCAGTTCGTGGTGGAGGCCGATGCTTCGAATGTCGGAGTGGGGGTGGTCCTGTCCCAGCATTCGGCCCTGGACCTCAAGTTACATCCCTGCGCCTTCTTCTCCCATTGCCTCAACACCACGGAGAGTAATTATGATGTGGGGGGCCCCAGACAACCGGATGTTTGTTCCTAGCGCTGTCCGCTCCTCGGTCCTGGAGTGGGCCCACTCCTCCAGGCTTGCATGCCACCTGGGCTCCCGTCGGACCCTGGCCTCTGTGCGACAACGCTTTTGGTGGCCTACCATGGTTCCTGACGTCTCCGCGTTCGTCGCCGCCTGCACCATCTGTGCGCAGAACAAGACTCCCCGGCAAGCTCCGGCTGGTCTCCTACAACCTCTGCCTGTTCCTCACCGTCCCTGGTCTCACATATCCGTGGACTTTGTCACGGGTCTTCCCCTGTCTGATGGCAACACCACCATCCTGACAGTTGTGGGCCGGTTTTCCAAAGCGGCCCAGCTCATGGTGCAGCACGTCTTCCAGATCCATGGACTCCCAGTGGACATGGTCTCCGACCGGGGTCCTCAGTTCTCGTCTCCGTTCTTGAAGGCGCTCTGCACATTCATTGGGTCGTCGGCCAGCCTGTGCTCCGGTTTCCACCCTCAGTCCAACGGCCAGTCGGAGCGAGCCAACCAAGACCTGGAGACGACTCTGCGCTGCCTGGTCTCCGCCAACCCCACCACCTGGAGCCAGCAGCTAGTGTGGGTCGAATACACCCGCAACACCCTTCCCTGCACTGCCACGGGTCTTTCACCCTTTGAGAATTTCCTGGGATATCAGCCCCCGCTCTTCCCGGCACACCCTCGGCCCAGATGTTTGTCCACCGCTGTCGTCATACCTGGAGGAGAGCCTGGTCAGCTCTTCTCAAGACCATCTCCAGGTATCGACGACAAGCGGACCGCCACCGGACCCCGGCTCTCTGGTAATGTCTCGGGCAAAAGGTATGGCTGTCCACCCAAGATCTGCCCCTCCGGGTGGAGTCCCGTAAACTTTCCCCACAGTTTATCGGCCCTTTCCCCATCTCCAAGATCATTATCCCCTCTGCTGTTCATCTTCTGTTGCCCCGTACCCCCCTGTATACATCCCACTTTTCATGTGTCTAGGATCAGCCCTTTGTCTCCTGTTTTCAGGCCCACCCCTTTCCCCCGTCTCATCGATGGCCAACCGGCGTACATGGTGAGGCGTCTCCTGAAGGTTCAACCTCAGGGCAGGGGTTTCCAGTACCTGGTTGACTGGGAGGGTTATGGCCCGGAGGAGAGTTGCTGGGTTCCGCTAGGGACATCCTGGATCCAGGACTCATCGCTGAGTTTCAACGCTGGCACCCCGGTCAACCAGGTGTGAGCCCAGGTAGGACGCCAGGTGGCGCCCCAGCGTTTTTCCCCTTGCTCCTGTCTTTCTCAAACCTGTTTTCTAGTTTTCCCGGTTTTGACCATTCTGCCCTGACCCTGAGCCTGCCTGCCGTTCTGTACCTTGTCACATCACCCTGGATTATTGACCTCTGCCTGCCCTGACCCTGAGACTGCCTGCCGTTCTGTACCTTTTGGACTCTGATCTGGATTACTGACCTCTGCCTGCCCTTGACCTGTCGTTTGCCTGCCCCCTGTTTTTGTAATAAACTTGTGTTACTTCAACACTGTCTGCATCTGGGTCTTCTCCTGAAACGTGATATAGGGGGATTTAATTTATTCATTTTGAACTCTTTATTCTAGAGGCTGTGCCTTAAGCACAGTTCCTCTCATGGGAACCCTGTAGATTCCCATGACTATATCTAATATCTAAACAGCTAAATAGCTATGTGCATAATATCACATCTCTCTCTCTTTATACAGTACATATCTACAGAAGAAGCAGATCCCCTCCCTCCTACCAACAACAGCTAGAACCATGACCCCTGCAGTGACAAAGGATGGTGTAATTTTCTTGTAATACAGAATGCTTTAATTATAATAAAGGCTGCTTCCTTTTGAGAGTCCATTACCAGAAGAAAATACCTACAAGTAGCCATCAAAGAATGAATTGAAATGTAAAGTGAGGTCAAAGCAGGTGAATAACGAGAGAAGAATAGAAGAGTAAGAGACATGGAGAGAGACAGGAGGGTGATTTGCTGCTCCCACTCCAGGGACGGCTACTTCATTCTAGAGCTACTTGTCTGTCTGCTGTCTGATCCATGAAGACGTTGAGAAGAGTAATGGTTGCCAAGCCGGAAAATAAACAAATAAATAAACAAATGTCAAATGGGCAGTCTCTCTCTCTCTCTCTCTCTCTCTCTCTCTCTCTCTCTCTCTCTCTCTCTCTCTGCCCCAAGGTATCATCGTAGGTCTTCTGTCAAATAGGCTTGCCCTCTCTTTAAGACTAATCTCACTAAACTGACTGCCTCCCTTCAGATCTACAGGGTGTGTTGCTGAGGGGCTTTGATAAAAAAACAACCATACAGCTCCAGTCCAATTCCCCAAATTACAGATGATGCTCAAGGGATAAGCGAGAGGGCACTGGAGAAAGCCCACTCATCTCACTTACCAGCTTAGACAAGATCTCTGAGACAGATACGCCGCCGTAGCCCTGAAAAATGTAATTCCACTATATGGGAAATCTCATGGGATTAACGTCTATAACCTGTTTATCATAATCTTTGTCCCATAGGTATGAATAATGAATCGCTTTGCTTTCTCTCCTTCTTTTTGTGTTTTCATCATGGAGGCGAGAGCAGAAATGTAATGCTTCTCACATCGCTCTGCCCCTCCACGCGCCACAGTCTGCCTGCCTCTTAACATGTGGCTGGTGCTCTCACCGCCTCCTCCAGTCACTTCAGCAGCGACGTGCAGCGCTGTGATACCACGCATCGCATGCCTCCCTCTCCCCCCTCAGCCCAGGCTCTTCAGGCTGCAATTAGGAGCTGCTGTTTGTTCTATCTGATTCTCTGTGGGACTCTCCACGTCAGGGGCCACAGAGTGGACTCCAACAAGAGGAGAGGAGAGGGACTGTAACAGGAAACGTGACAAGGGGAACTGGGCTGATCTTTGTGGCCATTGGGCTGGCCTGGAAGTCCTGAGTGCTCCCCTCTGAGAAGAGAATCAGACAGGTCCACAACCAACAGCTAACACTACTACTGCTCTTTCACCCAGGATCTACCTGTGACTTATACCTGCCTCATACGCATTGGACGATCTAAAAAGGAGGAGTTCTGAAAATAATTCATCTCTAGTAAGTCATTCCAGTCATTTATACTGTATGAATTGTTTTGTTTCTATTGTAAGTTTGGTTACACATAACTCATAACATTTTATCATTTGTGTGGATACGTATGAAATGTATGATTGAAATACCACATCGACACAGTATGTTGTATCTTGTTGCGTCTCAAACTGATATAATCTATTACCACAATGTGCAACAGTGACTGATTTGATAACATTAGCCCTGAGTGTAAGGCTGAACCCTCGAGACAATTTGATACCAGATTGACTATGTTTATATGTGCTACGCTAATACTCTGTAGCCACGGGGGAGAAATCAATCAAAACAAATCCTGAAACCATCTGTGCATCTTGAGTTACACTATAGTGTACAACATATTGAGTCTTGTATTCTATGACCTAAGTGTAAGGTAACTCAACCTATCCTTTTCCTTTCAAAAGTAGAAAAATGTATTCATTTACCTATACCAGATTTATGACAGTGTTAATAACATTGAATTGTTTCGATACTGTACATAGATAGATATGCAATTTAAATATATACTGACGTCAGCTGCTCTAGAACTAATTGTTGAGGCTTGAAATGATGAGAATGAAGTCAAACATACAGATGAACGCTAGGATAGCAGTTAAACCAGTCAAATAACATCTAATGACACTGAACTAATCCTTTTAGCAAATATAATGTCAAATAACTTTGGTAAAAGACCTCAGAGAAGAGGTGTGATAGATAGCCACTGTCTGTTAGACTCAGAGAACAAGTGCTGCCAGAGAGAGCCAGTGAGTCCAGTGTGATGGTTTGTGGGTGAAGCAGGGCTGAGGAGACGGCTCATCAGTGACAGACGGCGTTTCCTAGAGGAGTGAGTAGGCAGACAGATTGTTGGAAGCTGCTCTGTGATTAAAGCTGTTTTAATCTACAGCGGGCAAACACACACACCCACACACACATATTGTACGTCACTTAATTCTACTGTATCATCACAATATTGAGGCTTGCTTGATAGTTGATCTTGAATAGTCAGATTTCAACATAATGTGTATGCTGAGTGCTTGCCTTGATATTACCAAATATTGCCTATTTTCTGACTAATGTTACAGTACAGTATACGATTAGAGATCGCAGGTGCATCAGGTCAGGTTGTGTGAATATATCCATAAACTGATGAATTGATATGGATCTTCCATATAGCTTTGTGTGCTACTTGGGATTGGAACACAGCACCAATTGTCTCAGGCATACCAGGCTGTGAACTGTGTGAGTCATAGCCTACTAAGATTAATTCATGTGGAATAATGTACAGCATATTTCAAAATACAGTACCGTATTCCTCTTTTTTTTCTACAAGATAAGCTGCCTTATTGAGAACTTCTGAAAAATGTCTACATGGTCATAAAATCGGACATTTGCATAGACAGCATTTAAAATGGCACAGACAGAGAAATATACTTTCAGTTATCATTGAATGGCATTCAAATGAAAGGTCAATGGACTCGCTTTGAGGAGAACAAGAAACTGACATTATGGATATAGGTTGCCCATCATTCGAGAGTTTAAATGGGTTTGATCCATTTGAACTAGGTATAGCTGAGGTCCTGAATGAAATACTTTACAATTGTCCGATAGCATCCTACCTAAACCAACTCATTTAACACATTGTTTAAAAATCCCATTGTTGTCTCCTTAACTCTCGCTACTGCTCAAGAAAATTGTCAGAGAAAGAGAGCCAGAGAGACAGAGAGAGAGGGAGAGAAAGAGAGAGGGGGGGAGAAGACGGGGGCAGAAATTGAATTGCAGGAAGGGTGTAAGGCCACAGTAGCATTAGCGTAATGATGACCCTTCATTAGAAATGTGAATGTTATTTCCCAAGGGCATTGTGTTTACACTTCCTCTCCTTGATAAAAGCCCAGACTTCAAATCATGACCTCACTGGGAGGACTTACTGTATGTACCCAGTAACAGAACAAGGAGACATTCAAAAAATGCAATTTTTGACATAGTGGGCCATCCATGACTACAAAGACAGCTACAAATAGTGATGATTGAGGATGTCTATCTCTAAAGTAACTGGAGTTTAAAAAAGGCCTCTCTCCTTTATGGGACAAACTTCAGGGCGTGGCAAGAAGGACATCGGATGACGCACTGTTAACCCATATGAGGTTTGACTCCTTACGTTATAGCACAGAGTAAATGTTTTCTAACAAACCATTTTTAACTGTTCCAATAAATAGCTGAACACAATATTTAATAAGTTATGGAACAACAAAACATGATGAGATACTCACTTTGTGCCAAGTTCTTTACCTCAAAGGCCCAGATAAACCTATTGTCAGTGTGGAGAAGATAAGATACTTTATTATCTGTGCTGTATGGGGTTGTAATGAAAGTCATTTGATTGTAGTAGTTTTGGGACTTTAGAATATGATATTAAGCCATTTGGGAACATTTACGAACCATAATCCACCTCATCTTAATATCCACTGCTGAGGGCTGGCAACAATAAGAGTGGAATAACCCATATAAAGTATATTATCTGGGATGGACTGATTTAATGTTTAGCTATCCTCTTGACCACAAAGAAAGTGTCCATTTAAAGAAAGTGTCCATTCAACTTTTCTAGCGGAAAACTCCCAAAAGTGCCAACCATGCCCACCGGGCATGCCAGGCAAGCTTAATTAAATGCACCCAAAGTAATAGTTAACAATTGAAAGAAGACAAATAGTTTTTGAGCCAGGTGTGTTGCCTGAGGCGTGAGTGGTCTCAATGGCCCGAATTTAATGATCTGCTTTCCCTTCCTCTGCTTCTCCCTTCCTTCCTTCAGATGATGAGACAGTCTGCATGGAGGCAGATGACTGGGCCAGAGCTGTGGATGGGTCTCTTTGCCTTGGCCCTGTCCCTCAGTCTAACCATGGCTGAACATATGGACCAGAGGCCAGCACTACAAACCAGCCCAGTTCTCCACAGGCACAAGAGAGAGTGGTTGTGGAACAACCTTTACGTGGAGGAGGAAAGGCCAACCTACACCCAATACTATCTTGGAAAGGTATGTCGTTGTTTTACCATGTCGGTGTACTCTTGGAGGCTCAGGTAGAATGCCAGAAAGTTGAATTAACATTGTCTTCTGTTTTTCTATTTGTAGTTAAAGTCAACTAAGTCTGGTTACAGGACACGCTATGTCATTGAAGGAGAAGGTGCCAACACAATCTTCAAAGTGGATGAAAAAGGAGACATCTATGTCACTGAACGATTGGATCGAGAGGTGAAAAGCACATACCATCTAAAGGCCCAGCTGTTTGATACCAGCAACAACTTGGTGGAGAGAGTGGAAGAGTTTGTGATCCTGGTTACTGACATCAATGACAATGATCCAGTGTTTACTAAATCATTCAACGCTTCTATCAAAGAGAGATCCAAAAGAGGTACAGGAGGTCAAATCCTAAACACAAGGATGATTATGCTGGATATTAAAAACTGCTTTTGCTAAATCCCTTCTCTTTATTTCTTCCCTGTGTAGGAACTAAAGTGATAGAAGTCACTGCCACTGATGCAGATGATCCAACGACTGCAAATGGAGAACTTGCTTACAAATTATTAGAGGGGGGAGATGTCTTCAATATAGACAGCACAACAGGTAGGAGATGTTCATTCATTTTAACTCATATGGCATAAAGTCCATTGTATCTTCATCTCTTTTCAATATTCTTTCCTAATAACCCTTATTCATTTCAGGGATTATCACCACCAAGTATGAGAACCTGGACCGTGAGACCCAGAGTAGCTATGTGGTTGTGGTTCAAGCCCAGGATCTGAGAGGACTTAAACAAGGGGGTACCGCCACCACCTCTGTCACCATCGCAGTCAGCGACATCAATGATAACATAGCCACGTTTACCAAAAGTAAGGGCAATATAGAACATCCCTGACAGCTACATATAGCATATTGACAATTATTGGTCTTATAGGAGATAAACCTAAATATGAATGATTGTTACGGAATGCTTAGCTGCAAATGAGGGATTATTCCATAATGTCCCTCAGAAGCTTCTCTTACTAAGATGTAGAGTGTATTTTGCCCCTAGGTTCCTATGTATTTAGTGTGAAAGAGGACATGAAGCGGGGACAGAGAATAGACACCATGGTCCTGGAGGACAGAGATGAGATCCAGAATAAAGACCCCATCTTCACCATAGCACCTTCATCTGACATCTTTGAAATGGAGCGCAGTCAGACCAAAGATGGCAACCTCATGCTGAAACAGGTATTTCACTCATCCTAAACGTGTTGCTTTTTTTAAAAAAAAAATATCACAGAAAATGATCCACATTTGTCTCAATAGTGCAACCAGGTTTAATGCTTTCCTAATGTGTCCTAAACTCTACTGTACATGTGAGCATTACAGAGTGATGCATAACACTGAACTATACAGTAGCAGAGACTAAAGAAATAAGACCATGCACTCTTTGAAGGACATATGAAAATGATTGTCCTTGAAAGACTCCTTGAAGGGCATTATTAAGTAAATTAAGAAAATTAAACTACTTAAAGTATTCTGCAAAAAAAGTATCAGTACAGCCTGTACATTATAGATAACGTTGTAGGGAATATGTATGAGAGTGACACATTTGCTAAAGATTATACGTATAGTACATGTACTGAGTCTTTTCCTTAACCTTCCTTACTTCTTTTCAGGGACTTGATTATGAAACTAAGAGCAGCTACACGTTCTTTGTGGATGTGAGGGAGAACCACTTGCAGTCCCCTGCAGATAATAAGGACAATCCAGTGATCAAGGCCCAGGTGACCATCCAGGTACTAGATGTTGATGAGCAGCCAGAATTCAGCAAGAGCATCTATAACTTCAACGTGATAGAGGAAATGATGGTCAATAATATTGGAGTCGTTTCAGCCAGAGATCCTGATAAAGCCAACAAGGCCATACGGTAGGCCTACACATTCACTAATTGGCACATGCTAGAATAAACAGCACTTATTTTCTGAGAGGCCATTTCCACAATGTCTCAACGTGTCCTCTACAGGTATTCCATTGAGGACAAGGACAGTCCCATTGGTATCAACCCCATAACTGGACAACTTTTCACAGTGAGGAAGCTGGATCGGGAGCATGTAGCCAATCACATGTTCCAGGTTAAAGCTAAGGAGGAACCAAATGGTATGACATTAGCCATCATCTTTAATCTTATTAATTGCAAATTCACATTTATTGCATGAAATGTAATTAATGTCCAAAACATGTTTTACCTTAATAACTGGTATGCTTTAGGTGTTTCCCAATAATAAAATCATGTTTCCTGTCTCCTCTTCAGGACTGGAATCTTTTGTGAACGTCAACATACTGGTCATCGATATCAATGACAACAAACCAGAGCTGTCCATTGAAGAGATATTCGTTTGTGAAAATGATATGGCTGGCACGGTAGGATTTTTTCCAGAGTTAGATGTCATCTAAGCCATCAACCTTTAAACTCTTGCTGAAAATTGCATTATGTCTTTCTTAAAATGTATTCCCCTCACACAGGTGATTGGGACCATAAGTGCCACAGACAAAGATGATCATTTGCCCGCATTCAGCTTCACATTGGTGAAGCCGAACGCCAACTTTTCAGTCATCGCTAACAACGGTGAGAGAACTGATCATTTCTATGCATGAACATATGACAAGTGGCACCTTTATTATGTCACCTAGAGCTGTGCAGGCAGACACATTCTACTGATGCTAAGCTGTTGGTTGGTGTGATGGGGTGGTGAGGTGGGTATAACAGGGATAATGTGATTGGCTGGTTCACATATGGGCTCAGGATAGCACTGTGCTCCCCAGTGGCAGAGGAATCAGCCTGGGCAGCGCTCCGTTCTAAAGCTATCTGACGTCTGAACGTTCTCCACCTAGTCGGGTGGAAACGAGAACAGCAACAAACCGCAGAGAGCCCCTGAAATATTCATGATGTACAAGCTCTTTAAAACCAGCAGCCCTTCAATACATATTTTGAGAGCAACAGCGACGACCTCAGAGGCACTCTGGCTGGGGAACATTTTCAGTGCAGCGCTGGGGTGGCCTGGTCCAGTCTGTGCTGCCTCGTTGGCTGCACTGCATAATGAACTGATGTGACATTTCCCCATGTACTGATCAGCCAGGAACACGGAACACTGAGAGTAGGCTGCACATTAGCCCAGTGCAACTAGAGAGAAGGTCATAGCAACGGAAGAACAGAAGAACAGTGAGAAGTTGTTCTTACATTAGTGATGATGTGCATGTTAAGGCCATATCTCTAGCTTTGATGTACTGTATGCACTACAGGACATCCTTCATAGCTTCTATTTCTGAATGGTTATATACTGTAATTCTACTTCAATTAGGCCAGCCAAATTGAACATACAAAATGAGTATGCCCAGTTTCTATCAACATATACTGGCACCTAAAGCTCATGGAGATAATCATATGTGGAAAAGCATAATTTCTATATCAAGGTTCGGAGCACATTCAATCATCCTGCTTTGTGGATTCTTACCTACTGCGATTTTAGGTGATTGTTAGTGCGGAAAAGTTTCACTTACACAGGAACCCTCAGATTCAACAGTCTGCTTATTAGGTAGATGCAAAAGTCTACACCTAAGTAAATTGTAGCTAAGAGCATTCCACCATTGGAACCAATGCACTATGAAGACCCATATAATGTATAAAAATGTCCTCCAAATCTAACCATGGCAAACCTCTGATAACTAACATTGTTTTATGTCCACCTCTCCTAGACAACACATCTAACATAGTGCTGAAACATGGAGGCTTCAGCCTGGAGGACTCCAGGGACTATGTAATAGACATTGAGATCAGCGATGGAGGCAGGCCTCCCATGAGCAGCATCACCTCTCTGCCTATCAAAGTGTGCAGGTGTGACAACAAGAGGATCCACACCCAGTGCAAAGCAGCCCAACTCAAAATGGGTGTCAGTGTCCACGCCCTGATTGCTATACTGTTGTGCATCCTGACTATTCTGGGTGAGTCAATCTCTCCTCTACTGTATACAGCCCTCTCCATTTTAACTGGCATTCTACAACACCACTGTTCCTGATTAAGACATATTGTAAAATAGAGCAATCGTCTAAGAAATTAAAAAACTGAGATCATTAAACAAGGTACTTCAGCTCAAGGTGTTCTTGGGTAAAATCATGAAGTATTTACGACACAGGGAGAAGGATAGGTAAATGTGAACAATTCAGATGATGGATGATGTGCGACTCATTTTAATTTTTTGGGACAAAGTTGAAGAGTTTTACCTCAGTATCTGATTGGATAAATAACATACAAGAATCCAGGACAAGCTAAGTAAATAGTGGAAGGAACAGGAAGCATTGAGCTGAATATTCTTTTTGATACATTCTCTGCTCTGCTGTCTTGGGAGAAAGCCATTTGTCATATTAGATGAGCCATGTGCCAGAGATGTTTTGTCAAAAGCTCATATCTGAAGCAGAGAGCAATCGCACTGCTGCAGTAGGCTTCCACTAAAGCAGATATGTGGGAAAAACATGAGAAGAATGGGAAGGCTAATGAGAAGATGATCAGTTATTCGGTCTTGTTATCAAAGACACATAATGAAGTGGTGATTAACTATTAAACAGTCATTATCGTATGAATCCCAAAGAAATATACTGGAGACCCATTCAACAAAGTATTTTCTCACACCCGATTTCATTTGCCTCATGAAATATATATTTTTCCCGCTCCTATCTCCTTCAGTACTTATTAAAACCCCAGAGTGTCTGTCATGGATATTAAACATGTTTTCGTTCTCGTTCCAGTCATAGTGATCCTGATTGCTATGAGGAAGCGTCACCAGAAGGACGCCCTGGTCACTCGGGGAAAGAGTGAGATCCACGAGCAGCTGGTGACGTATGACGAGGAGGGTGGTGGGGAGATGGACACCAACGGCTACGACGTGTCCATCCTGACCTCAGCTCGGAACGACGGCAGCATGAGCATGAGGCAGGGCCCCAGCCTTTACGCCATGGTGAAGAAACCACCAACAGCGTGCAAGGGAGACATGGCCATGATGATCGAGGTGAAGAAAGACGACGCTGACCATGACAGGGATGGGATCCCCTACGATACCCTGCACATCTACGGCTACGAGGGGCCAGAGTCCCTGGCTGGTAGCCTCAGTTCCCTGGATAGTTCCTCCACTGGCTCTAACCTTGACTATGACTTCTTAAACGACTGGGGCCCTCGCTTCAGAACCCTGGCTGAGCTCTATGGGGTGGATGGGTCTGAGGGAAGTGACTCCCCGTATTGAGCACATTGAGCCTAAAGACCAGCAGGCAGGACGTCTCTCAGCTCTCTCAGCTCTTCCTTTGACTAAAAGCACAACGGGATTAACTTATTCCACTAATCCGTCCAATCATAGCACACTATGATAGGGTCCACTCAAGCGTGTGCCAATTTGAAGTAATTCTCTCTTGCTTCCTCTTCTTCTACCTCCTGTTCCTCCTCTTCTTACGTCTCCTTTTTCCTCTCTTTCCCTTGTTATTATTATTATTTTAAAGAAATCGTGTTTTATTTCCTTTTCTTTCATTTCATTAATTTCTGTCACATGTAAATATGACGATAAAGGGAAACAGATTTGCTGTAAAGAAAACTGTTAACATTCCACAACTGTGCTTCATTTATTTGTTTTACATTTATTTGAGGTTTCAGAGGAGATTGAGAAAATGAGTTTGATTTTTTATCTGATTACTCACACAGAAATCTGTATACCTTCATTTTGATTGATTGTGTTTTTTTATGGTTGACTAAACCAACTGTAGCTATGTAGTGAGAGGTGGGCCATTCAGTGAGTCACAGTGGCAGCCTGAGTTGTCTTTCAGACAGAATTACCCTTCTCCTCAGGAGATACTATTGCCCAGGGAGCCCGGCAGGAAACAATGATAACAGAAGCTCTGAAATAATTAAAGTCTATTCCCAGTTTATTTGACAGGACTCATCAACACATCAATTGTTGTGGATACAGCCCAGGTCTCTGAGGTCCACTGTAACAAAAGTATTACAACCAACTCAGGAAATGTGAAGTATCTCAATAGTCATTTAGATGAAAACAAAGTTATCTGAATAACTTTAACCTTTCATCTTTGAGCTAATGCTTCAACGTACTGCTTCAACATACTGCTTCCATATTCTGCTTCAACATACTGCTTCAACATACTGCTTCAACATACTGCTTCAATATACTGCTTCAATATTCTTCTTCAACATACTGCTTCAACATACTGCTTCAACATACTGCTTCCATATTCTGCTTCAACATACAGCTTCAACATACTTCTTCAACATACTGCTTCAACATACTGCTTCAATATTCTGCTTCAACAAACTGCTTCAACATACTTCTTCAACATACAGCATGTGCTTCTGCTCCATTTGTTGAAATAGCTTAATATAATGAGGGCAATCTACACAAGTTCAAGTTTATCATTATCGCTATTGTCCTTCTTGACTGAATACAGCAAAAAGAGAGCAAAGGTTTACTCCTGTTTATATTTTATTCCATATTATTTAGAATGTGAACTGTTTGTTGTATACTGAAGCTTTGAATACTTGGGACCACCTCTCATAAACTATGGATACAATATGTGGAAGCCATCTTACCACTTTCCTGTCTGGATCATATACATGGAGGGCTGGACCTCCATCCTTTTTCAAACACCGGAGTCCACCCCTACACATCACCCAAACAAAACACTGGAATCAGCTTCCTGCACATATGTGTGTGAGGAAGTCCTCTTCCTGTCCTGTTATCTTTTAAAGTAAAGCAACACATTGCGGCCCGCTTCCTGTTTTCCTGCCTGGGAAAAACCTTTTGGAGAGGGCAAAATAGATAGAGAACAATGCAAGAGCCATGATGACTTTAACAACAGGCAACATTTCATTTCATTGTCGACCATCTACCAAAGATCAGTATGGTGAAACCTCAGCTTACAATAGTTTCCACTGGTAAACTGTTCTGTAATGTTATGTCTCCAGTACTCCATTTCTATATAACATACCTGATCTACTTCGGTCCATGCTATTAATAATCATTGTCTGCTCACAATTCTATTCTATTTCACAAGCTCTTACTGTTAGTGGTGCTCTGTATAATCATCTGTAAACCTTACGGACTATTTTTCAATGGCACTAAGTAACTTGGCAATACGGGATCCATGTTATCGAGATTGTGAGTACTGGAAATATAGTTGTCTACAATGTATATAGAAAATGTGCCTGAATATTGATATTGGCCTCACTTCCTTTTGCGTTATTTCAAAATGATTTTACTTGACACTGGTCTTTGTCAGCTGAAAGTGTAAAATATGTAGTCTTTTTTTACACTTGTAGTTTAATTGATGTGTAATTGTGCATTGATTGATACTGTATGTAGGTGTGAGTCTACCTGTGTAAATACACTCCAGTGGGTGTCAGTATTGGGCACCAAAATGAGAAGAGAAAACATTCAAATGCATTTCTTTTGTATGCAGCTAGATTATTCTGTAGGGGAGCAATATGTGCCTTGGTTTATGATCATTCTCACGATGGTGAACACAATCTTTTCTAAGGTTTGTATTGTGTAAAAACGTTTTATTATGTACCAATTTAATATGTGTAAAATAAACGTAGCACTCAAATGAGAAGTACAAAAAGTGGGCTTTATTGTTTCAAAAAATGCAAGAAGGAATTAAGTAATATCATGCTAAATGGAATTGAACTGACTAGATTAGCATAATATAGCTTTGAAACTTGGTACAAACAATGGTCCGTTCTAAGTTTTGGTTTCTGTGTTTTGCTGTAAGATAAAGAACAGTCTCATAATGCCTTTATAGCCATCTAAATTGGCCTCTTGTGATTGTAAAGTCATTATTGTATGAGAGGGTTATCTTCAGGTGAGGCTCAATCTTCAGATCCAACAGCAGCTACAGTCCCTGTGGTCTAGAAAGTATGTGGGAGGACTGGGTGTGTGTGTGTGAGATTGCAAAGATAACGGAGAGACTAGGGAAAATGCCTCAGTGATGTCACGCCTCAAACTCCCGGGACTAAAAGAAAACAGCCAGTAGGGAACTTCCTGAAGCCTCACATGTCCTCACATTTTTTTAAAGGACCAGGAAAGTGATTGGGCCTCTCACGACCTCTGATATATGGTGAGTGCCGCTGTGCATTTGAGCCTTATGAGTCATTGTTACAATATTGAGAAAGCTATGTGCTGAAAATATTTTGATTCGATAGGGTATAGGAAACATTTGGGATTTGTATCATGGACCGGAAGACGATAATGAAGGTCTTCCCTGGAGTCTTCAAGAAATATTGCATCACATTTTCCAACGGTCAGCAGCCAAGTGGCCCTTTACTATTCTAATTTGCACTGTGAACTGGGGCCGGAGGATTGTGAACATTGACCAAAAATCTCTTCTTTACAGCACAGGAAGTCCAAAGGGGCAAATTAGAGAGAAAATGTGTCATTTTGAATGTTTTAAGTGGCCACAATTTGGCTAAAAAACGATTACAATTCAGTTATAACTCAGCTATGGGTCAGTTACAATCTGTGATATGTTTCAACAGAGTGCTGAACTGAATAACTGGCAGACAGGTGTAGTTTGCCCAAGTGAACACTGGGAGACAGTAAAATGTTACGAACGCAGTGCAGGAGGTAACATTTTAGATAAACACAAATGCTTTCACAGAGAATAGATTCACTCTCTCGCTCTATTGTCAGAGGAGGAACAATGCTGCTTTTTAGCCTGACCACATGTTGATTTGCCATAATTTCATTGTTTGTCATCCAACATAAAAACATACACAATTGAAATTCAAACAAACTAATTCAGAGAAACTATGTCATGGTTAGATCAAAGAACAATGATGAGCCACTTCCTTCAAACAGTCAATAATAACAAAAGCCAGGTGAATGGGATAAACACTCTCAGGGGATATCCCTTTTCATGTCCAGTCCATACTGCTACGGAATGCAACAATACAGAGTTAGTTAGGGTACGTCTCAATTCCTGGCCACCTTGCCCATTCATACCCACGGACTATCTGACCGCTCCACCTGTTTCCTACGTCTCAGACAACCTTTCTGTGTCTGCTGCCTGGCAGACACAAAGATAAATACAACAGCTGGGAATGAATGGCCTCTTACTGGGGGAAGCAGCCAGGGCACCGATACACACACACGCAAGCGCGCGCACACACACACACAATGACACTGAGATAAAAACACAATTCAATGCTAAATGTAATTGTCTATCCCTATATTCATGGTTTTAATAGTTATAATTGTTTGTGCTATGGAGGAATGAGGATAAAGGAACCCAGGTCCTCTTCTCATTGTCATTACAACTACATAGATAAACATGGTTGAGGAAATATCCAATATGGCAGTCCCATTTGTACATGTCTGAATTGTTTTAAATAGACAGCTGGAAGGCTTAAATTATCCCTCTTCTAATTACCCCTGCAAGACAAATTCCTCACTCAGGAGCGTGTGCAAATTAAACACACTGCCACTGCTGTGGTTCCTGTCGGATTAATGAGACAGGGGTATCAATTATTAACTATCAGGCCCCGACAACATCAGCGCCTCTAAAGTTATTGTCACGTCAGCAACACCCCGGGGGCAACGCCCATCCGCTCAACCCGCGCCCCAGCCATGTGGATTGACGGATCAAACAGACGCAGTGTGAACTGAGATGACACCAGCATCTGATCTGGAGATGTGGAGAAAAATACCTGAGGGAAGAAGCCCTAGTGCTGCCATACATAGTTGTTTCAGCCTCAGTGGACTAAAGGAGTTCTAATGGCTGAGATGAGGAACTAGGTGGAGTAATGGAGAAGTCCCATTACCCATTAAACACCACCAGGGGGCCATGGACTAGCTAGACCACGAGACCACAGCCCATTCATACATACTATACTGTCTACACCACAGTCTGTGCATCACAGTATACATCACTATGAATCATTAAACTTGTCCTTTATTTATCCAGCTAGTTGCAACTAGTTCCACAATACTCATGTGCTCCAATGGTGCCCCAATTTAATAATAATAATAATAATTATTATTATTAATTTGTAGAGCGCATTGACCCACGCTCAATGTGCAAATGTCATCACCTATTGGGATTGAGGTTGGTAGAGATACCTTGACAAAGATATAATGGTTCTCCCTCTGTTTTTAGGCAACTAGAATCTGTGGGTTCATTCAATTGTGAGTATAAATGCATCATTAACATATACAAATATTAATACCTTGCACCATGCTTGCTG